AGAAATTTGTAAATGCACCAGCCACAAGAATACCATGAGGATGGAAACCCAGCACATAGTTCTTCCTAGGGTCCAGATCAGTTGTCTTCACCAACTAGTAAAGAGACAAAGAACTTAATGTAAATAACTTCAGTGTTTTAAAGAATGTGAATAGGTTTGATATGGTTTCTTTCATATCAAAGGTCATTGATCATGTGCTGTTCATGTGCAATGCGGTGCTGTATAGGGCTCTATTATGACCTTACACACTGATCTAGGATCTGCTAATACTTAACTATTAATACCAATCACTACAGTGAAAGTGTTAACAGAATACTAAAACTATTTATCAGCAACACAGAACAGTACCAGTCAAATCAGACTCAAGCCAGACTGATTTGTGTTTGAGGTAGGCTACTGTAGCTTTGGCTTGACATTAACAAATCCAGGAATTTCCAAGAACCACGATCGGAATCTCCAACACAACAGTTTTTCAGAGAAAACCAAATAGTTGTTCTCTAAGAAAAGGATGAACTGTACTGTTAGTGCAGTGTGAAACACGTTTTCATACATTCAGTGATCTTTTACTATCCATTCTGCACTTAATATCCACCAAAGGCGAGGGTTGCGACTTGGTTGGTTTGCGAGGGTTGCGTCCACTAACTACTGTATGTTCTCTCTCACACACAAAAAAAATGTTCTGACTGCTAACCATGTAAAGTTCTCATCACACCATTATTAAGACAGTTACCAATAATGAAATAACACTGCACTTGTGGAGGTAGGTTCTTGATAACTTAGACACTTCCTTTTCTTAAAGAAAACAAAATTCCCACCATGTCACCTGCAATATTCATGTGCATAAGCAAAAGTTTGCTTTTTCCAAGATCCCTGATCTACTTTCAGATTAGGAGGTTTTGTATGGATGAGGGAAAATTTGCACCGGTGGTTGAAGCAAGGTTTCATCTTAATCAATTATTCACTTTGAATACAAATGCTCTGTGTAGCTACAGCAAGGCCTCTTTAATACTAATGACGCATTTAGTCATATGTTGTGCTTCCTGCGAATCCTGGGACAAAGCCAGATTGTATGGTGAATTGAATGAAAAAATTTAGAAATTAGAAAAAATTACAATTGTAAGTAAATGGTTGAGCTCATATGATTTATACAAAGCCCATTGAATAATCACTAACTTAAATGATAAAGAAAATACAAAGCCTTTAAACCAAATCAAAATAGCAAAAGTTTGCTTTTTCCAAGATCCCTGATCTACTTTCAGATTAGGAGGTTTTGTATGGATGAGGGAAAATTTGCACCGGTGGTTGAAGCAAGGTTTCATCTTAATCAATTATTCACTTTGAATACAAATGCTCTGTGTAGCTACAGCAAGGCCTCTTTAATACTAATGACGCATTTAGTCATATGTTGTGCTTCCTGCGAATCCTGGGACAAAGCCAGATTGTATGGTGAATTGACAAAAAGGAAAATTTCTTAGAAAAAATTACAATTGTAAGTAAATGGTTGAGCTCATATGATTTATACAAAGCCCATTGAATAATCACTAACTTAAATGATAAAGAAAATACAAAGCCTTTAAACCAAATCAAAATAACGTCTATAATCATCACGTTGATTCTTTAAGTTGTTAAGTTGTTTTGATAGAGATGGGTATCTTTGCCTCCCTTCAAGATCATGGCCATGACCCTTGGATTGAACAGGGGTTTAAATCCCCCACAGTGTTTAGAGTTACTCATTCACTCCGAACGCAGAGAGTCTTCTAAGGACACATGCCGTCTCTGTTGTTCAAAAGTTGAAAACACTATCATTATGGACAGGTACATACAGATAAGACAAATTATTGTTTCAAGGGTTCAACTACCAAAGCGATAACATTTCCCTCATATGCTAATCAAATCAGTTTAGTTTTTGATGCACTCTGTTGAGAAAAACAAAACCTTTCATCAAGATTGACAAGAGTACAAGTATAGCGAGGTTGGCCACTAAAATACTGTAGTATTTATCAGCTTAATTTAAACTTTCCAAATACAAAAAGTACTCCTAAAAGTTATTTGCAAGTTATTTTACAGACAAAATCTGCAGTATAAATTTTCTCTACTGATTATTAGTGCACTCAGCATTAAACCTCAGATGCATGAAAAATAAACTCTATACTATTCAAAAGTTTTTCAAGAATATTTAATGAATATAAAGTTCAAAAGAACAGCATTTATTTGAAATAGAAATCTTTTGTAAAACCGTAAACGTTACTATCACTTTTCATCAGTTGAATGGTTCCTTGCTGAATAAAAGTATTAATTTCTTTAAAAAAACAAAAACATGAATGAATGAATACATAAAAATCTTACTGATACCAAACTTTTGAATGGTAGTGCATAATGTTCACTTCAAAACGGGAATACAATTATTCTGATGCTTTTTCTTTTCCAGAATAATGTTTTGTGTGAGAGGTACAGCAATTTAGAATTTAGTTTTTAAAACCATTACATACAACGATCGATTGTAATAATAAAAACTAAACCGTTAATGTATGGTAATTCCACATACATTTGACAACCAATACCATGTCTAAATCAATGCAAAAGATTATAATATATTTAAAATGCATTCAGACAAAGAACATATTTCAAACAACACAATAATATTTTAAGCAAACCAACACACTATATTAAATACTACCATGAGCTTATTAAAATTCTGTAAAAATATATGGATTCTGGGCTTTGCACCATTTTCAGATAATGAATAGACACTAGATGGCAGTATTACATTGTTCTCCCATTATTTAAACCTGCAAATCACTGTTTATCTGTACATCTAAATGGTTCGGCCTTGTTTTTCTCCCTGGAGCAACAACAGTGCGTTGGTTTCATTTGGTAAAAGCTCTATTATGCTGATGTTCATTGATGCATATAATAGCAAAAAGAATGACAACAAAGAAGACACTGTTGACATATAAAGCAATTCTGTTTTTATAAGCTCCATTTCAAACCCTGGTCATCTGGTCAAATTAGTTCATATGACACAATTTGTACAAGTGACAAAATCAGCTTCTGATCATATTTAAAAGGTCAACCACCAACCAAGCAACACTTTTGCTATGCTTCACTAGATCCGCCCACTCACCTTTATAGGGAAATAATCTCTGGTGTACTCCCACACACGCAATCGACACAGAAAGGGAACTTTTCTACCTCCTCGTGAAGGTGTGTCCCAATCGATGTACCACCAGATGGCATAAAGCACGCTGATGAGCCAGAAACGAGTGTAGAGTAGGAAGAAGAACAGTATAATACAGATGGGGGCTGCAAAAATTATACAGATAATAAACACAGGTGCATTAGACATACACATGCACAGGCTGAAAGAAAACACATCAGCTCAACAGCCAGGATCTTTCCAACCAAAGACTTTGACCTGGAGATTTTGACCTGTCTTGGTGCTTTGCTAAAGGCCTACATAGTCACAAACAGAACAAAATAGGTTTGATACAACACGTTTTCCTGCTTTTTTTCAAAACATAGTGAAAACGTGTGTTCTAGAAAGAGTCATTTGTATGAGGTTATTCTCTTGCTCTCAGCTTTTATTACCTTTATTACATGAGAGCCAATGGACCAATCACAAATCAGCATACAGAAACTGCACAGTTTATCTAAATGCAGAACATCAATAAAGCTACAATATCTTTCTTAAAGTAGAAACACTGTAAAAGGGATTCTATTGAGAATCTCTTTAAACTTAAGTTTAAGTATTTACCTTAAAAAGCAATGACTATTGCAGTACATGTAAGAGACAGGACACAGACTGTGATTAGATCTCATTCAAGATCAACACTTGATGGCTTTGCAAAGAGACTATAATAAAACCACATGCACTTACCGAGCGCCAGGAAAGAGAAGACCCACTGTAATACGACAGCAGTCTGGATCCTTCTAACCAGAGGCACATCAGCCGGAGCAAAATAAATCTTCATGTCTAAACCAGAAGACAGCAAGAGCCGGCGAGAGGCTGAGAGATCAGCACAGCACTAGGATCTCCACTCTGAGGTCAAAGTCTGACACCATGTCTTGGTATGCTCCCCTCCTCTTTTCATTTGCCACCTTATCTGATCTGCAAGTGAAAGGATTATAGACCAAGAGTACCTTGATATTACACCAATGAGACTTTTGACCCCAGAGACAAAGGGCTGTGCAAAATTAGGCCTTACAACATGTGTATGAAAAGAAGAGATTAATGCAGCTGATATGCATGATGTTATTTTAAATTAGAATATATATATAACATAAGTAATAATGTATTTAAAAGTGAAAATGTATTTTACAATGAATATATATGTATGTATATTATTAATCATGATAATTTGTTCATGTAACACTTGAAAAAATGTTACAATGTAAAAAAGAAATATATATTATGATTAAAGCAAATACATTTATGTTACAAAATGTTTAAAATAAATGCTGTGCTTTTGAACTTTCTATTCTTTCCATGTTTTCTATATCAAAGAATCCTGAAAGAAACTGTTTTCAATACTGATAATGATAAGTTTCTTGAGCAGCATATTAAATAGCCTTTATGTAATACATAATGACTGCTGAAACTTCAGCTTTGCCATCATAGGAATAAATTACATTTTAAAATATATCAAAATAGAAAATTGTTGTTTTAAATTGTAATAATATTTCACGATATTACTGTTTTTATCAAATAAATACAGCCTTGGTGAGCATAAGAGACTTCTTTCAAAAACTTTAGAACTATATAGCCTATACAGAGAATAAGAATAAGAGTAAGTATAACATGTTTGAACTATTTTTGAGCATCCTTCCTGATTTCCAACAGAGATGTCCTCAGAACTGTAGTTTAGTGGGCGGGGATTCGAGCGCAACTCCGCCCATTACAGACGTTGCGTGATGATGACAGTGGCAGGTGATTCAGCTCCTCTCTTGGATGCTGAGCGGAGGAGGCGCGCGGGAGGGGCAGCTAGCTGTGTCTTCACAAATTCTCGTATCATAACGAGCGCAAGGGGATCAGGACGGAGCAAAATCTGAATATTTCACAGGTAAAAATCCCTCAAGAACCGGTAATGCCTCTTTTACAGTGGATTTATGTTCTGTCATCTTTGACAGCATCGTTTTAAGGGAAAACATTGCGAATCGGACATTTTGTGACACGAGCGCGTTTAGTTCCACAGACTGAATAGAAAACAGCTTTGAGAAAAGGAAGAGATTGACATAACAGAAGGTAAGACGTTGGCAAACCATCATGGCATGGCCCTGTATCTCCAGAGCCTGCTGTATGGCTCGGTTCTGGAACCAGCTGGACAAGGGCGACATTGCGGTGCCGTTGGTTTTCACCAAGTACTCGGACGTGTCCGAAATGCAGCATCTTCACCTGCAGCAGCCTGCGCCGAAGGTCGCCATAGAAACGCAGCCGCTTCACAACGACCACGACGCGGTGTCCAAAGGACCTCCAGCCCAGGATGAAAACATCTTAGGATCTGTGATGCGCCAGGACTTCAAACACTGGAAAGTTCGCCCGGAGCCCAGCTGCAAGCCCAAGAACGAGTATCATTGCCCTGAGGTTCCTTTTAACAACAAGACCCAGTATCAGAAGGACTTCAAACCCTGGCCTATCCCAAAGAGGGGAGATCATCCTTGGATCCCCAAACCCTCTCCGACCATCTCAGTGGGCAATGACCGCATCCCTGACAGATCCAAACACACCTTAGAGATGATGGACAGTGGGGTGGAAAAGAGCGAAATTGCTGACAAGGTGCAAGAGAAGGAGATCCTGTCTAGTGAAAGGAAAAAGAGACAAGCCAAGAAAGTGACCATGGTTTCTGAAAACAAAGCTGGCGTGAAGTTGGACAGGCAGAGAGTAGGGGATGCCACCACTACAGAGGGTAAAGGGAGGGCAGCTGTGGATGCTCTCAACCGGCAGATCAAACAAGAAGTGTCCTCTGGCAGCTCCTACAGGTATGGCTGATTGATCATCAATGAATGATTGTACAGTAGTGAATAAAGACCAGGGGTCCGGAACCCCAGCTTCCAAGGGGGCCTCAAGATAACTAAAAATGATTTAAAATAAGACAAAACAATTACTAAAAGAAGCTAATACAGCTAAAAATTAAGATCTTACAACTGTCAATTTATTTAGGAACCAGGATTTTTTGTACATGTGCAACAAGCTTGTATACATGAGGAAGCCTGATTTTAAAAGTGTGATGGTATTGTAAATCCTGGAATGATGATGAAAATTAATAAAATCACAAAATGTCAATACATTTTTTATAATTTTCTAGTTATGCAAAGGTCTCAAATATTGCTATTGAAATTGCTATTTGTAAAAAATGTAAATATTCATTCACTCATTTAAACATCTGAAATTATGAAATTTAAGTATCTATAATTATTTAAATACTTATATGTTATAATATAATTATTATAATAAATTACTCTATTTATTTATTTTAATATATTGAAACTGATCCTTGTTTCTGGAAGTAAAACAGTTAGAAAATCAGTGGATTTGTCATTACAGCAGAAGTATCTTGGTGGGACCTTGATCACTGTCATTGACAGTGAGTCAAAAAGGTTGAGAACCACTGTTGTACAGGGATTCAGACAGAGGCTTGATTTGACAGTAAAACCTCAATTGAGCCGTTATGCTAAATAATAATAATGCGAAATAATACAAAATAATGTCTCTAAAAAGGAAAAATGGATTAAGTGGGGGTTAAGAAATATAAAATACCACTAGACCAGTATAAAAACAATTGAAGTCAGTGTAAAGTACCAAATGGAAAGTGTATTGTAGAGTGAAAAAGCCATAAGGAGGTCAGCTGTGGGTTAAATCTTGTGTATACTGCTGTACTAACACCTACAGATGGCAGGACATGCAGGGGGCTGGAGAGCACTGGAGCAGAAGCTGTTTTTGGAAAAGGCTTTAATTTTCTTCAGGGTTAGCTTTAGGGTAAAGTGAGGCCATTGTGGCAAAGTGAGTGCATTGTGGAATTCCTAGTTGTTAAAGGATTAGTTCACTTCCAGAATAAAAATCCCTCACCCCCATGTCATCCAAGATGTTCATATCTTTCTTTCTTCAGTCGCAAAGAAATTAAGTTTTTTGAGAAAAACATTTTCTCCATAAAATGGACTTCAATGGTGGCCAATGGACTGAAGGTCCAAATTGCAGTTTCATTGCAGCTTCATAGGGCTCTACACGATCCCAGACGTGGAATTAGGGCTTGTACATCGAAACGATGAGTTATTTTCTTTAAAAAATAAAAATGTATATACTTTTTAACCACAAATGCTCGTCTTGCACTAGCTCGACTTCACGCATTACATAGTCACGTTAGAAAGGTCATGTATGACGTAGGCAGAAGAACCGACCCAGTGTTTACAAAGCGAACGTGCAAAGAAAGTCAAATGCCCTTTACAAAAAAGGTAAAACAACGATGTCGTTGAAGTTGGAGGAGAAAATGAGATGGAGTTTTTCACCCTATACTCTAATTTTTTGAACCAGAGTACACATGAAGAGCTAACCGTGCGTGACCTTTCCAACGTGATTACCTAATGCGTGAATTTGGACCTTCAACCCGTTGGCCACCATTGAAGTCCATTATATGGAGAAAAATCCTGGAATGTTTTCCTCACGAACCTTAATTTCTTTGCGACTGAAGACAGAAAGACATGAACATCTTGGATGACATGGGGGTGAGTAAATTATCAGGAATTTTTATTCTGGAAGTGAACTAATACTTTAAAAATCTATTTGTTGAGGTGCAAAAAAGGGGTGTAAAATTGTCAGGTTTGTGAAATTCAGAGAGCAGTCTTTACAGAGCCCTAAAATAAGCTTTTATTTTCCAGCTATAGCATGTAAAACATGGCTTTTTCACTTGCTTTTATTTGCATGTCTTTGTTTAAAACAGGTGCGAGTTGAAGTTTGTATAGTGCTGTGCTGTTCCTGGTCCTACTTGGTATTCAGTTGCCTTTCAATCACTTTTTTATTACAAACAGTGAACAATAAATGTGTAAAGAAAGAACGTTCTCCGTATTCTCAGAATTGAGTTCTGGATCTCAGTTGAAAAGTCTGTCATTGTTATTGTGGAGTATTTGTGTTTAATTGACAGGTGGCAATTGGTCCATAATTCACCCACTCATTCATGTGCGCTTGCAAATCACTCATGCAGCTGAACAAGATTGAGCTTTTTTGATACTCTGTACAGTTATGATAAATTGCTTGTGGTGCTTTGCAGGTTGCTTTGGATAAATATGCTTGTATACATTATATGGTGTTAAATTTAGCCTGAATTGCGTTGAAATCTTGCCTTTAGACCTGCGTATATTAGGCTGGTGTTATTTGTTGGGTGAGAATTTTAATCTCAAAATGCCTCTTGGTGCATCAGGACACATTTCATATTTCCTGTGTGGATTTTTTTCTTCTTGACTTGGAGGAAAATACACAAGAAGACAAAACACAGAGTCATCAGTTCAGTTTGCTTGACAGTGCATGCATGAATTGTTATAGTGCGATTCTTTAAACTGAAAAGCTCAGGATTACCAGTAGTTTGACTTAATCTCATGTTTAGTCCTGAGTTTTGCTTTGTTGCCTTGTCATGCTTCAAAGCTTAAGCTTTATGACACAAACTGATGAAACTGGATATCAAAAATTATCCTCTTACTGTAAGAAGCCTGTGAAAAGCATTCTGTGGTGTTTTATTTTGAGCCAGAGAAATCAGGTGCGCCTTGACAGGATGCGGTAAAGAGGAAGTTGCTTCCTTCATTTATCTCTCTACTGTCTCTTGCTCTCTTTCTACCTGCAGATCAGTATGCTTTGGTCTGCAGTTTATATCTCTTGTGCACAAAATCTTGGAATAACTGATAAATTTTAGCAGTTTAAGTTTTTAGCAGTTATTTTGTATTTAGTAGTTATTTTAGGGTTGTTTTTTGTTTCTTATTGTTTCACTGTTGACTTGACTTAAAAATAGAACGTACCTACGATTCAGAGTTGTTATTGTTAACTAAAGGTGCATCCCAAGTGATGTACTTGTGCACTATTCTATGCCATTATGTAGTATAAATTAGGGGTGTAACGATATTCAAACCGAACAGAAAAACCACGATACACCACCCACGGTACATACCGCGGTACTCTCATGGCGTACCGCGATGCTCTCTTGGCCTACTTCACCCCCTGCTGAGACACTTCATGTGCAGAACAAATCTGTCATATAGGCTATATAAAATTATAATGAGAACATGTCCTGTAAAAGAATATGCCATGTTTCAGCGCGTTATGTAAAGAATGCGTCCACAGAGTTATATCTTCATGACTAGCACAGTCAAGTTTGCTTCTGCAGCCACTCACAGCCTTTTGTGGAACTATAAGTTGCAATATGTTGTTTATATATATATATATATATATATATAGTGTATATATTATTTATCTCATATAAGATGCATTTGTTTGAATTACGCTGCAGGAAAGCACTTTATTGTAGGCCTACTACTGCGATTATCTCTGAAGTGTGCAGCGCAAGCAAGCCCCCTCAACAGCAGTTAAACATTCAGAGCAGCACAGACACGTCCACTTGTGCATTCGGGTCATTTTGTGCAGATATAAGTCGTAGTATTAAGGTTATGTAGTATAAATAACGAAGTGTATCCTATATGAGATAAATCTGATTAGTTAAATCCCGTTGATTAAAAACCCGCTATCAAAGTACGGGATTGTACTGGTGATCTTCAGCGTGTGCAGCTCAAAACAGAAATGAGCGATGTGATGTGACATGTGGCCAAGTATGGTGTCCCATACTCAGAATTTGTGCTCTGCATTTAACCCATTCAAGTGCACACACACAGCAATGAGTAGTGAACACACACACATAAACCATGAACACACACCTGGAGCAGTGGGCAGTCTTTTTTTTTTTTTGCTGTGGTGCCCGGGAAGCAGTTGGGGGTCCGGTGCCTTGCTTAAGGGTCTCACTTCAGTCGTGGTATTGAGGGTGGAAGAGAGCGCTGGTCATTCACTCCCCCCACCGACAATTCCTGCCAGTACGGAGACTCGAACCCGCAACCATTGAGATTCAAGTCTGACTCTCTAACCATTAGGCCACGACATTAAAGCTAAATAGAAATATAACTTTGACTAAAATTAAAATGAAATATGAAAATATGAAATAAAAGGTAATTCATAGTATTAGTAAATACTATAATAGTATATAAATAATACTAGATATAGATTTTAGATACTAGGGAAAATAAGAAAAAATTTTATTGTATTATGTGTGTATATATAAATATATATACATATGTCTATCATGACAACTCTCTGAAGATTTTAGCATGGTAATAGATATGACAATGTTAATATATTTGGTCTTGGCAGAATAGATCTGCTACACTGCTGAATTGCTGCTGCTGTTGGTTATTGCTGTTGTGGTAGATTATTGCTGCTGCTGTTGCAAAGCAAGTACAGGAACTTGTTGCCAATACGGTGCTGTGAGTATTTAAGACATACTGCTGCTGCACAAATAGCATATATAATAACCCGTAGTAGATCTATACAGGTGGAGCTGGGGAAGGTGGAGTGTTTCAGAGGAACTCTGAAAGTGTGCTGCGAAATGCAATAGTGAATACTAACTAGCCATTTATATGTAAAGCAGCAAGCTCATTGGCTGCGCAGGCAACATGAACCAATCAGCTTTTAACACTGTGAATATCATCAGTTTGTGTTAACGACCCATCAGCCTGCACCATCTATATATATAGTAAATCATATAAGTCAATTTGTGCAATATGATGTACAACAGACATTGTATAGCATTATGCCGTAAATTAATATACTTTTATGCCTTTTCTCCCTTCATGCCTTTCCTTTCCTCCCTTTTCTTGTGTAGTGCAGTAATTGAAGACGCTGTAACAATTCAAAGACTGGAATTGATAAGTATAACAGAGAAAGCAGCAGAGAGAGAGAGAAATAAAAGAGTTTTGCCTTACAGAATTACAGGAATTATCTCATTGGGATTCACTTGGAGACCAAAGTGAATGTCAGAAGGAATATGTCATGCTGTTGATGGAAACCTATTGATCTGACAGCAAGGCTGTTACTAGAATAAGAAGGGACAATAAAAATCTAAATTAAATAATCAACTAAGATTGCACATTTAATTATTTGCAGTGCTGGTGGATTAATAGAATGAGTAAGTTTTACAGTATTCATTAATCCAAATATGCTGTCTATTTTTGGTAACATCAAGCACTGTTGTCATCTAACAGGTCTAGACTACAAAATAATCAGGATGTAGTTTTTGGATCCAAGTAAAAAGCAAAACAGCTTTACATGCTTCTGTTAAACACCACGTTACTCCAATGTGCCAAGTCTACCCATGGTGCACTGCTCTGGCTCCCCACTACACAATTCTCTAGTGCCAGCCCTGCATATCACCATAGTGACAAGGCTGCTCACAAAAGCTCAATGCCTGGGGAGAGGAAGAAGTATCAACCTCACTGTATGCTCAAATCTACAGATGACTTTTGATGACAGCACTTAATTAAATGTGTGAGCTCATTTGAATAAATACTGTGCTTTTCCATTAAATTAATTCTATTAAATTAGAAAATAAGCTGGTGTAATACAGCATTGTAGAACAGTGTTGATGCCCGTTATCAAATGAATGATTTGACAGCTGGTACCAAGTACTCATTTACAATAAGCACACTAAGCTCATTGTTGGGAGTCCTGTTGTATGTGTGTAACAGCCTTCTCTCTCTGTCTTTATGTCTTTCTCATTCTCTGTCTGTCTTGTTCTACGTGTGTGTGTGTGTGTGTGTACCTGGTATTTATCACGTTATGGACAAGGATAGTAATACTAGTAAATTTTGACCTTGTGGGGACATTTTTGAGGTCCCCATGAGGAAACAAGCTTATAAATCATACAGAATGAGTTTTTTTGAGAAAGTAAAAATGTACAAAGTTTCCTGTAAGGGGTAGGTTTAGGGGTAGGGTTGGTGTAGGGCAATAGCACATACAGTTTGTACAGTATAAAAACCATTACGCCTATGGAATGTCCCCATAAAACATGGAAATGTGTGTGTGTGTGTGTGTGTGTTGCTGTATAAACTCTGATCTTCTTTCATGTTTGTCCTGTGAGTCTTTGGTGCCTGTGGCCTTGGACTTCTATGAGCTGCTTTTGTGCTGCCGTTTTTTTCAAGCATTCTGACTGGACTTCATTTGTCTTATGTAACAACTTTCAAAACTCTAGCAATATCATCAAATTCACATTCCCAAAGAACAATTTATCAGAAATACATGATGTTTGTACATGGTCCTTGTTTAGGCTAATTTTCTAGCTAGGTTTTGATGTATCCTTAACCTTAACACACAACTAAATTAAATGTTCATACCTTTTGCATACTTTTAAAGATATTTCCATTGTAATAATTAATATTTTATAGTGATTTTGTTTAAGATTGAAAGTTTGGGTCTGGGACATGGGTCAAATCTAACAACAAAATCGATACATATCGATACATTTTTACAACCTGAGAGTCTGAGAGAGAATTATTTTCTGTTGTTTTTCTGCTTTGTTGTTGATAGAGATGCACATGTATTTAACCTGAAATATTCTTTTAAAACGCATGGCATGGGGCATGGTTTTCACATCCCCTGTTTTCTCTGAGGAGGTAAATGCTCCCCCACATGCTGTCCCATGACTTTGTTCATCAACTTGGTGCTCACATAATAATGGGCCCTTTCTGTTTAGAATCCTTCCTCATTCTGAGTGTAAAGGAGTTTGATCTAGTAATGTTATCTATTCTCATCTCCAATTTTTCTCTTTTTTTAGGCCTTATTATAATATATCGGAATGGTTGATTCGGTTTCATACAGAGATGTATTAATTTGCTCCTTACTCTCATAAACTAAAGCAACTAATTGATCTAATGTGATGATAATGGTTCACTTTGCCTGGCATTCCCATCTCTTCCTGTCCTGTCAATCCTAATTAATACAGTCTACCCTCTGAGGCTGTAATGTTACGGAATCAAAAATAAAGAGAGAGAGGTCAAAAGGAATTTTTAAAAATGAAAATGAATAGAAGTCATGTAAATGTTTACAGTGAATATCCATTATTCCATCTTTGCTCAGCTAGAAATCCTCAGCTAGAGTAAAACACGCTCACAAGACATCATGATTAGAATCTGGAATTCAGAAAACAAGTGCACGAATTGGTCTGAGTGATTCAATAGTGAATCAGTTTGTTTTTGAATGATTTACAAAAAAACTGAGTTTGTCTGAGACGTCTGTTTTGTGCTGGTCTTAGTGAGAGAGTTCTGTCTGTATAGCGTGCATGTGTGTTAGATGCACTGCAATGGTAATCTGCAATGCACATACCCGTGTAGTATATACCTTTTGTCTGTGTCATCTCAGTGAATAAAGACTCATTACTCATCATAAAGGAAGGGCCTCAGGAAAAACTCAATGTGATGCAAATGAGGGAGGGGGATCTCTGCATTATATCAATCTAGATCTATAATGCAGTGTCTATATGTAGCAGTACCAAGTAGTTATTCTATATGTAGTCTTTGTTGTATCGCATAGCGCCTTGATGTAATTTGAAATATTGTTTTCTTGATGTGTTTGTTCTGTCAGAACATAAAAATGAATGTTAAAAACAGTGATTGTTGACCATATAAAATTAAAGTTTGAATTAAAATTCAAGTTTTGTGACTAGCCTATGTATAATGTAATATATGAGGTCATCTACTATATGTCGGTGTACTTCTAAACATTGACAGTGTAACTTTTGTCAGATATGTGCATTTCTTTTCAGAAAAAAATGGATCAAAAATATTGATGACTCATCTTAGACTTGGATGGTTTAGCCAATCAAATGCTCTCTAGAATGAGAATGTCCCACCCCCACATACCACAGACTAACAAATTGCAAATAATGGTTGACAGCTATGAAACTAAAGCCTATTGGCTAAAACAAAACATGGGTCATTATTTTTTTCCAATAAATTCCCCAACTCAGTTTTAATGGTGGACATTAAGGATAATATTTCAGTGTCATACTCTTTCTGGTTTGTACAATATGGTCTTGAAATTCAAAATGTGTCGGTTGAATCACTCATTACACTCAATTTTCCAATAATTGTGATGTTATCTGTTTCTTAATGTCAGGACTGAGTTCAAAGCCTACACAGATGTAAAACCCGTGAAGCTCATCAGGGCTAAGTCTCAGTATCATCCTCCCGATGGGAAGACTGATCAGGAGACCAGCTACAGCGCCACCTACAGGCCCTACCAGGCCACTCAGCAGCCAGATGAAAACAAGGCCCTGGAGAGGAGGAGGATACGCACACTGTACCATGAACCTTACAGAGAGAGCAGTAAGGTAAGAGCTGTGGAAGTTAAGGAAAAACAACACAATATTTAGATTAGCAGTTGGGTTTTTTAATAGGTTGATCACCTTTATTCTGCCCTAATTTTTGAATGTTTGGTTACATTCTTATTTATAAGTGTATGTTTGTTGCAGAAGGCTGGAAAACAATTATTGGGTTCAGCATTTTCATGATGTCAGCAGTGTATGTGCTCAGTGGCTGGAAAATAACTGAACAACAGTTTTCTTCTCAGCAGTACTTTTTCAAAGTTGTTTGACATAACTTTGGCCTCAAGCTTTGAGTGTATTTTCTGAGTGAATCAGCATCAGTTCTTTATTTCATTATGTTGAGCGACCTGTGACACACTTCTCTGTGGAGACATATGACAGACCTTTCCAATCATTTAGTCTGTTTAAACCCGCCCCTTCCTTACAGTCAACCTCAAGCTCACATTCAGATCTGCCTTCATCCAATCAACAGTTGATGGAGAGAACCAAGTCCTCACCCTACATTTTTTTCTTTTTTTAAAAAATCCATTTCACTCAAATGTACGTCACAACATTGAATAAAATATATTTTCTGCTGACATGCCCAGGGCTGAATTAGCAGGAAATATAATCTATAAAAAATAACCAACAATATCAATGTCCAACATGTCCATCCAATCCGAATCCCATCCTATGATATTTCCCATTGAATAACAAAATATGTCACATAACGGTTGTAAAATACCATTTGTGTGCCATTTTATGTCTTATACAGGTGGAGAAAACCAGTCTTCCTCGCTCCAAACCCAAAAAGAGCACAGCTGCCACACCTGGCAAACCTCTGAAAAAGTCCAAGGAGAAACAGGTGGCATTGCGTGGTTCGAAGAAGAAGAGCTCCGAGAACCAACCTGAGACCAGAGCAGGGCAAGGCGACAAGGAGAAAAGTAAAGAGATCAACAACAAACTGGCTGAGGCGAAAGAGTAAAAACCATTGCACTTCTTCTCTTATTTAATCTCTTCCCGAAAGGGTGAAAGCAGAACGAAGGCTGCAAAATTATTTAATAAGAGGTTCTCATTCCTTTACTGTTCTGTCCATTGCTGCCCCCTCCCTCTCTCTCTCTCTCTCTTTCTATCTGATGCACCTCTCGTTTTATTCCTCACTGTATATTTCCAATACCCCCCACCTCTCTTTCTCTCACACTCTCTTTTTCTCTGAGAGGTCAGTGGGCTGATTTTACAAAATTTTCAGGGTTGGATTTTATGTTTTTCTCCTCTTTTGCCTCACAATCTCGCCCAGTAATATCAAAGCGTTTGCATTTACTATAGCTCCACCCACTCTCCTCATCTCCATGACGAGGTTTCCATGGCAGCCACTCTACTGGTTGGCCAGTGGATGCTCTTATTTTGCATGGAGCCATTGGCTCTGTATGCACTTACCATCAGATGCACAGACTGGTGGGTTTCATTTATCAGGGGTTTTAAATTGAAGCTGATATGTATCCGATAAGCCTTTTGAAATCATGTTTATGTAAATTAGGCAACACATAGAAACCACAAAGGCCAATTTCTCAATCAAAAATCTTTGATAAATGTGCATCTTTGGTTTTAAGACTATATTAATCTGCTTGCTTTGCCTGTTTTATGTTATCATTTTATTGATCAAACACCCCAAGCTCCCAAGTGATATGTTATGATCTCAGATCACTTTGGTGCTGTGATGATTTGAATTATTTTGTTTTCTTGAGAACCATTCCATATCATGAAAATGTTGATGAATCCTTATAGGAACAGGATATGTCTAAATAGAACATCAGTATCTCCAAAAAAAACATCTGTCAAGGTCATATAAGACAACTTTGCCTGGACAACCAAATGGATGTAGTACTACTGTAACATGATATTGCATTATGGGATGTACTGTAAATTTGTCTTTGGATAGAATAGGATTTAAATGTTCACTGTGATTTTATGTGCAAAACAAACCAATAGAAATTCAGTTTTTTTACAAACTAAAGTATGTTTATGTATTGTTTGGTTTTGAAGTTTTGGTGGAATTCTATTCCATCATGCACCATAAAATATGTAAGGACCACAACACAACATTTAACATTATCTTCCACTCTGCCCAACTGTTTCTTTTTCTCTCACATGCACACTTCCCATCCCCCCTAAGGGAGCCCCCGAGGTAGACAGATGGGGTTCCCGAAAGTAGAATGAACTCAAAAGGTCAATAGATTAGACAGCTTTAAAATCAAAGCCCTTCTTTATGTGAATGCAGATTCAACGTATTAATTATTAATGACTTTTCCCAGAGTGTCTCCTTCTTTGTTTTGCTCCTGCATCCCCCATTGTTCAATGACTGACATGATCTGTATTCTTGACTAATTCTGTTTGTTATCATGTGTCCCTTGATGTAATGGTAAGTCGAATGCAGTCTGTTCGGAATGCGGTTTGTTTACTCTCGATTGCATGATCATGTCATCTTTGTTTGTTTTATTCAAAAGTTGGCCCCAAAAAGGCCTCTTCCCAAGATGCACATGTATGTATAAGGGTAAATTTCATGTGACATTTACTTGTTTCCGTCTGGTAACAAAATTGGGACACAAGCCCTCATCACAATCTCTGAATCAAGTGACCTTAGAGGTTGTGAGCCTGTAATGCAAACTTAAAACTAACTTACAAGAATACAAATCTATCATCATTTACTCACCCAAATAGTGTTTCAAACCTGGACAAAAACCATTATATCACAGAAGAAAGAAAGAAAGTCATACATGTTTGGACGACATTAGGGATAGTAAATGATAGAATTTCAATTTTGGGTGGACTACCCCTTTATAGTTTAATGCTGATACATTCACAGAGATGATTTTGTGTTGGCAGTGAAATCTTTTTAGATATAATCTGATCAGGCCTTATGTAACAGCTCATAATCATGGCTTTGCATGTGACAGGACACTGTCGCAGATTCATGTCAGTTTGTGATAAAGGAACAAAGATGTTGGTAGTTCATGGGACTGAATAGCATTCATTTTAGTATCTAAATATCTTCATTTGCTGGCATTATGGGAGTGCATTGTGTAAGATAATGCTTTGCATTGTTTTTTTTATTTGTTTTTTTAAACATGTACCTCCCCTCTGCAAATCCTCTCTGTCTCTGGTCTCATCCTTTGAGGTCTTCTTCATTTTCAGTATGTCAAGTATGTGATCTCATTGTCCTGTTTGCCCAATCAGTGCACAGTAGTTCTGTAATCTATTGCCAGATTGAAGAAATTTCAAATTCCATTGAACACACGGTACTTCTATCCCTCACAGCCTCATTTTCATTCCTGTCAGAAATTAAATATGGCACTACCCTGGCTGCATTCAGAATAGTATACTACTCTCATAATATTTTATAAAGCTAAAAATATACAGGAATAGTAAGAATAGCATGCTATTCAAGTTCAACCGTAATCTTTTTATCTTTCATGGTGTGCACCATTAGCAGTCTAACACTAGAAAGCGAAGATTCTGCTTCATGTATGAGCTTGATTGACACAGCCATTCTGCCGCGACTTTCCCATTGACATACCATACCATGTACAATTTTGTTCAAAGGCAGTTGAGATGTATTATAACTATGTTTACTATTATTTATGAAAATATATAATACATTACAATGCATTGTGAATACCTTGAATGTATTATATACACAGGCTTCAAGTCCAGAGACATAGACATTCTGTTGGACTTGTGGAAAGAATTCGTAAAGAATGAAAGTATCTGTTTCTTCAGTCTGGCTGTAGAATAGCCCATTCTCTTTTGCACTGTGCTCTGAAGCTGACTGTGCCACAGAGTGAGGGCCTTTTCTTGTATTTTGCAGCCTTTGGTGACTCAGTTACTGTTCATATAAGAGAAATTAAGGGACGACATTGTTGGGAGACAGAGGAGGAGCAGCTAACGGGTTGTACATGTCAATGAGTGTGTGTGTGTGTGTGTGTGTGTGTGTGTGTGTGTGCTTAGCACAGGTGCTATCTATAGTCCATGCATACTGAAAAAGGAGAGAAAAAAATATGTTATGTGAAAGAGCCTCAGATTTAACTGTGGAAATGTGAATTGTGATTTCTCTCTTGCTTGCTCATATTTATTGAAATGAATAAATGCAAACGCAGAAACAGAGGTGTCGTGGTTCATTTTGTTTGAGATGTGGGAGGGTTTGGGAACTCAATGGTAGGTGCATCTGTATCGTTTCTCCCTGTCCTTCTGTCTGTCTCTCTTGTCACTGTCATAGACGTCGAATCCACATGGAAGGGAACTATTCCGATGTTTATGGTTTACGTTTGATTTTGCGATTCTCATATTTTGTGTGTGAAAGGCTATGGAATAGGTTCTGGCATCTTTTAGGTTGTGCATATTGCTGTCAGCTGAGAGTTGAGAAATATATGTTTGCATCTTGAGTGAATCTGATATATTGCGGCTTTCAGTGCCTCATATGTGCAAAGTAATAAAAGGTGCAAAACTTCCTATTCCAGGATCAAATATCATAGATTTACCTAAAAACTGCAATTATTCCATCCTGAATAGACTGAAATCGTCCTTGAAAGATCAATATGTGTCAGTTACTGTGAGTCTCTAATGACTGGCTTTAATGATGTGATTGATTGATTGATTGATTGAAATTTGGTTGATTTACATAATGATTTTATGCTTTGGGAGTTAAAGGAATAGTTCACCCTAAAACAAAAATAGTTGTCATTTACTCACCCTAGTGTCATTCCAAACTTGTATGACTTTCTTTATTCTATTGAATACAACCGTTTTTGACCAATTTTGACATATAATGATATTTGTATGGGAAAAAAGCATTCTGCAAATCATTTCCACATAAGTCATACCAATTTGGAATGACATAAGGGTGAGTACATGATGGCAGAATTTTCATTTTTGGTTGAACTATCCCTTTAATTACTTTAATGTTCAGCTAACGAGTAATCTTGTCGTTCGTTTGAAGGGTTATGCTAAAACAGTACCACTACATTCAGCTCTGTCAGCCCATCCGAGATATTGGTTGGGTGCAGACACTAAAGCAACACCTGTGGCGCTGTACGATGCCCGACCCAAGGTAATTCTCACCTGAGATTAGTTAAGCTTCTTCCGCCTTCATGCGTACTTCAGCAGCACAATTATTACTCACTGAGAGAAACTAGTGTTACTAGTGCTTCGTACTCTAGTGTTTCCATCGAAATTTGGAATGACATAAGGGTGAGTACATGATGGCAGAATTTTCATTTTTGGTTGAACTATCCCTTTAATTCCTTTAATGTTCAGCTAACGAGTAATCTTGTCGTTCGTTTGAAGGGTTATGCTAAAACAGTACCACTACATTCAGCTCTGTCAGCCCATCCGAGATATTGGTTGGGTGCAGACATTAAAGCAACACCTGTGGCGCTGTGCGATGCCCGACCCAAGGTAATTCTCGCCTGAGATTAGTTAAGCTTCTTCCGCCTTCATGCGTACTTCAGCAGCACAGTTATTACTCACAGAGAAACTAGTGTTACTAGTGCTTCGTACTCTAGTGTTTCCATCGAGAATTTAGTACACCATAACTGTTTAGTGTTCTTCATCTTTTGATTTGCTCCCATGCGTATTCTCTTCCATATGGAAAGTGTTGGGCCAAAGGAGGCTGACTAGGACAGTTTGACTGCTCATGTATGTTGTTTTCCTGTTGTTAATGTTATTTTTGGAGGATGTTGAGCACTTTGTTACAGTATTTATTTTTTTTATATACATGCATGTTCTGTTTTAATGTTGACTACCATCACATACAGGCTTGTTACTGTGTTCTTGTAGAAAAATAGGTCAGGGAAAAGGCATTTTTTCTTAATGTATTCATCTGAGGCATTGCTCTCAATAGAAGAGTTTGAAGTGTCACATCTTTTTTGTGGTACTTGTAATTTGATGTACTATCAATCTCTTCTCCCTACTGCAAGAACAATCCATTTACAGTGAACTTTAAATGTCATTCATAGATTAATTCTTTTTTATTTATTTATTTTCAGGAGATTAATGAAATTGAATTTGATATTTAAATCTTTAGTTTTAGAAGTTAGAACAGCACATTGCATTCTTGTTCAGTGGTGTCTGTCTTCTTGTTTTCATGCTGCTTTTATTTCTGGACTTTTCCTTTGAACAACCTGAGATCACGGTTATAATTCATCTATTTATTTGGAGGATGGGGTCCAAATGTCTGAGACATCAAAGGAGTTTGGGTTTGGGGCATTGTGATTTATTGTGCTGCGTTACGTCATTTTTCCTACCGTGTCCGATACTAAAATACGTGCGACACTCTTTGCAAAAAGCGTGGGAATTGTCGATGCTGCTTCCCGATAAGAAATTTAATTCCTCCGTCCAGCTGTTGTTGAATTTGCAGCTATATTTTGTTTTGTTTTTTCGCGTAGCACCACCTGAGCTTTCTAATGCCATTTCTACCAGTGATGGTTGATTCAACTTCAGCCGTCTAGCCCAGGGGTGGGCAAACTTGGCCCTTCCAGGCCACTTTCCTTCAGAGTTTAGCTCCAACCCTAATCAAAAACACCTGAACCAGCTAATCATTGTCTTCAAGACTACTAGAAGGCTACAGGCAGGTGAGTTTTATCAGGATTGGATCAAATCTCTGCAGGAAAGTGGCCTGGAAGGGCCAAGTTTGCCCATCACTGGTCTATATGCACAGATATCAACAGCGCAACTGAGTTGTAGGTTACCAGGTTGAGGTCACAAATGGGTTCAAAATTTTATGATCTGTCTATTGTGTGAGTAGGATGCGTTTCATACAAGATCTCGCAACTGGACAACCTTGGAATAATATATTGATGTGATTATTCATATAACGAGGTAGGGCCATACAAATTACGGGAGTTTCCCGGGAAAAATAACAAAGCGGGAGATGGGTATGAAATACAGGAGACTCCCGGGAAAAACGGGAGTGTTGACAGGTAGCCTATGGCACCTATAGGAAGAGGGAAAATGAAGAAACTGCCTGTAATTGACCGTGAAAACTCACATTTTATATATATTTTTTAAATAAAAATACAAAGTTATAGTGAAATAAGACGTTTATTATTATTATTGTTTAATAAATTACATCCATTTGGAAAATTACCACTTCTCATTGGGTGGGCCACAGCTGAAAGCCTCGCCACTGCTTTTGAGTATATAGTTAAATGCAATATTTCACTAAAAAAGAAATAGTATAAATATATATAATGCTTATTTATTTAATCATAAAAACATTTTTGAGTGTTTTTATAGCAAGATCTGGCAACAGTAATGAGTAGCCTAATTCTAACGTACCCTGTGATTTCTGAACGCACATCCAGAAAAGACAGAACTGATACAAGTTTAATAACAGCTAGTTGTTCAGTTTGGTTCCATACACACTAGATTTTCTGTAGTAAATGCGGTTGTCACTACCTGCATTTTTCATGAGTCAATTCGGTTGTAGAATACGGTCCTGTGTGTACGGAACAGGATTAGACACTAAAAGGTTAACTGCAGTGTAGGCTATACGTGGCCTATTTGCTATTTCTTCTGGCGGAAGGATTCCATTTAATGAATTTGCTTAATCCAATAACGTTTTAATGAACGTTTGCGTCCTTAATAATTTAAATATGTAGTGACTGTTTGAATACAGTGAAAACGTAAATAACGTTACAGTCCCGGCTAAATGGGTTAAAGTCTACTGTGCCTCGTGCCTACAACGCCCTTTTTCTGCGGCTATATTGACGATAGAAAACGGAGATATTTAGCATATGTTACTGGATATTACACGTAGCCTATTTCTCATCAGAATATTCATTCAAGCATTTGCTTGACCGTTATGACTTACATCGGTCTCAATATACAATTTCTAAATAGAAATGATGAGTATAATTTGGTCTCAGAATGCTCAAAACTCGTTTCTAGTGCGCGCTGTTATCTTCCGGATAAAACACCTCATGTTGTCTCTCTTTCAAAACACCTCATGTTGTCTGTTATCTTCCGGATAAAACACCTCATGTTCTCTCTCTCTCTCTCTCTCTCCCTCCCTCTGTCGCCCTTCCGCTCTCCCTCCCTCCCTCTGTCGCTCTTCCGCTCCTCCTTTGGCAATAACACTGTGCTGCTCTTTAGAGAATCTGAGTCTGGCCTCGGACGAGTCAGCGATTATCCGCGGGTAGGTACCTCTGGAAGAGAACCACTGGTGGAACGACCAGAACCACGTCGGGGAGTAGTCCGGTTCGCTCCGGATGTCAAGTACTGACACAAAGCACATGAGAAAGAGGAAGGCAGCTATAGACAGAACAATGAAGTAATGAGAAAATATTTTTGCAGACAGAAAGAGAGATGTGTTCAATTAAAGTACTGTATGTATATAGGCTGTTGTATGTCATAGGTTAAGATTAAACGATGAGCTTCATCACTTACATTGGTCTCACTATAAATAGAAATGCTGTGTAAAACGTGGTCTCAGAATGCTCAAAGCCTCGTTTCTTCTAGTGCGCACTGCTATCTACCAGATAAAACACCTCATGTTGTGTCTCTGTGTCTCTCTCTTTCTTTCTCTCCCTCTGTCGCCCTTCCGCTTCTCCTTTGGCAATAACACTGTGCTGCTCCTTAGAGAATCTGAGTCTGGCCTCGGACGAGTCAGCGATTATTATTCCGAGGGTACCTCTGGAAGAGAACCACTGGTGGAACGACCAGAACCACGTCGGGGAGTAGTCCGGTTCGCTCCGGATGTCAAGTACTGACACAAAGCACATGAGAAAGAGGAAGGCAGCTATAGACAGAACAATGAAGTAATGATAAATATTTTTGCAGACAGAATGAGAGACGTGTTCAATTAAAGTACTGTATGTATATAGGCTATTGTATGTCATAGATTAAGATTAAAAGATGAGCTTCCAATGAGAAAAACATGAACAAAAAGTAACTGTGCTCCCAAACTGTTTGCAACAACTGAAATGGTGCTATAAATGTATTTTCTATTTGATGCTATTTCTCAAAACATAGTGTTGCCATGATGATCATTTAAAGTAGCAAATATCATGTGTCATTAAGTGCTTCCTTAGATTATAACATACTGTTTGAAAGTCTAATAAATGTGATTAAATTAGTGCATATCTGGCTATTTTCGTGTTTCATTGCAATATCCATTAAGAAATATGTTCCTCATAGTTTTTTTATTAATAATAATAAACAATAAAAAAAATATTTTTTGACATTAAAAAATATCTGATGCATCCTGGAAACTCATCAAGTATCAGTATCATACTGTATATTTAATTTGAGTTCATTATGACAACAATAGAAGTCAATGGAAAGTCCCCATCATGATGAAAACACTGGGGGCTGTCATTTTCCATTTTCCAAGTCAGCTGTCTTCGTACTAATCGTCTGAATAATTCTACAGCTCTTGTGTTATTATGGAGACTCTTGAAATTCTAGATGAGATGAAGGCTTCATCTTCACAGACACAAGGAGGCAGATTAGATTAAATAGAACATGGGCTTTTATTTAAATTACAACACAAATGCTTCATCTGCATTCTTATAATTGCATTTACTGGAATAAAGGACATTTACTTTGTGTCCTTCCTTTCAACAGCCCATTGCCCTCACTAATAAACATTGATGTGTATATCACGACCGGGTCTTATTAAGATACACATCCTTTTTTATTTAAATAGATAATAAATATAATTATGAAGAAAATAAAGAATGAAGAAAATAAAGTCTGTGTGCATGTGTGTGTGTACTGAAGGGTTCTAGCACTAATTAACAGAAGCCGAGGGAAACAGTAATTAAGATAACAGTGATATTTCTGTTGGTTTACATCTTCATCCTGATGCAACTAACAAATCAAGATTTTAAAATGCAACCTAAATAGTACAAATGACCAGTGTGTAAGATATTACCTGTTTTTGATAACACATATGAATTCACATGCAAACATAAACATGCTCACAGATCCACTCACACCCATGAAAACACACAAATAAACACAGTTCCACAGCTCCTGGAGGCAAAACTGAGATGTTGCCACGGAGACGCCGTACTTTTAGCATGTAGCTGAATAATAATTGGTGAATTGAAGATATGTATGACTCCCCCATCTCTGAAATACACTTGTTACACTCCATGTCTCTGGAGAATTCACAAACCTCTTCAGCCTACAAAAGATCGAGGAGGCCTTGTTTACTAGTTCTCTCACAGGCTCCATGCACTCAAAGTCTCAGCAGATAGTCACATTATTTTTAGGAAATGTTAAATCCTTCCTACAAGGTTGAGAATAATCGATTGGAACATATTCTGTTTACAAGGGCCTCCATATACTCATATTAGATTTTCATCTGTCTAAATGTATAGCTCATAACATACAGACAACAGACCAAAGCTGGTATCAAATTGTACAGCTAATACAACAGAGTCCTCTAGTGGCCTATTTAAGAAAGTGGCACAACGTCACTGGAAAAGGGTGTATTTTAGTAGTTTTTGTGTGCAATTTTCCTAGATGATGTATAAGTATATATTCAATCAATTTAAATATCTATACCAGGGCCACAATAGACATTGAGGAGGAGAAGCACCCCCCGCAAATAATTAGAAATGGACACATTTCTCTCCCGTTTGATATTGTTGATGCATCTTTGTTTGTGGTAAGGATGACAAAGTTTTAAAAGTAATTTTTTTAGGCTGATCTGCCTCAGCAGCGGTCTATCAACGCTCGTAATGTCAAAATTATTGACATGGCCAATCAAATCAAATAAGGCAGGAAATTCCCGTGCAAGACGCTTCAGTTTTTAACGGTGAAAGAATGCGAGGTAAGATGCAAGCAGCTCAACATTTAATATTTCATAACGGTTTTACTATTAACCTTATTTTGCACAGGGGAAGTAAGCTGCTTTCTGTGAATGTGCGAGACTTGCGCTTTATTAGCCGCGGTAGGGAAATAACGAGAATTACAAGCGCAGTAAACGGTCAAATTGTTTGTGTGTTTATAATTAAGACAACACATTAAAAATAATGTGTTAAGAAACCCCAGTTTGCAATATCAAGCGGCAAAACGAGCTGTTTTGTACAGCTAAAAATAGCTGGAAGCAGATGACACCGGAAGCCAGACACAATTACAAATGGCCGCGTCCACGCTCACGAGAAAAATAAGGGAGAAAGGTGGATGTGATTTCCAGTGATGCAAACTAAATGAATATGATGGACAATGAACATTTTGCATTTTAGACATATCAGGTATACGAATAAGATTGAATGTGTGCAAATTTTTAAAAAAAAAATCCTTTAAAAAGACCATTACAACCACTACAAAGAAAATGGTACCCCGCCCCCAATGTAGGTACAAGACCTGGTTAAGGCCTTGATCTACAGGGGTTGGACATTGAAACTGAAACACCTGGTTTTAGACCACAATAATTTATTAGTATGGTGTAGGGCCTCTTTTTGCAGCCAATGCAGCATCAATTCGTCTTGGGAATGACAGATACACGTCCTGCACAGTGGCCAGAGGGATTTTGAGCCATTCTTCTTGCAGAACAGTGGCCAGGTCTCTACGTGATGCTGGTGGAGGAAAACGTTTCCTGACTCGCTCCTCCAAAACACCCCAAAGTGGCTCAATAATATTCAGATCTGGTGACTGTGCAGGCCATGGGAGATGTTCAACTTCACTTTCATGTTCATCAAACCACTCTGTCACCAGTCTTGGTGCATTATCATCCTGATACACAGCACCACCTTCAGGGTACAATGTTTGAACCATTGGGTGCACATGGTCCTCCAGAATGGTTCGGTAGTCCTTGGCAGTGATGCGCCCATCTAGCACAAGTATGGGCCTAGGGAATGCCATGATATTGCAGCCCAAACCATCACTGATCCACCCCCATGCTTCACTCTGGGCATGCAACAGTCTGGGTGGTAAGCTTCTTTGGGGCTTCTCCACACCGTAACTCTCCCGGATGTGGGAAAGACAGTGAAGGTGGACTCATCAGAGAACAATACATGTTTCACATTGTCCACAGCCCAAGATTTCTGCTGCTGGCACCATTGAAACCGACGTTTGGCATTGGCACGAGTGACCAAAGGTTTGGCTATAGCAGCCCGGCCATGTATATTGACCCTGTGGAGCTCCCGACGAACAGTTTTGGTGGAAACAGGAGAGTTGAGGTGCACATTTAATTCTGCAGTGAGTTGGGCATCTGTGGTTTTATGTTTTTTGGATACAATCCGGGTTAGTACCCGGACATCCCTTTCAGACAGCTTCCTCTTGCGTTGACAGTTACTCCTGTTGGATGTGGTTCGTCCTTCATGGTGGTATGCTGACATTACCCTGGATACCGTGGCTCTTGATACACCACAAAGACTTGCTGTCCTGGTCACAGATGCGCCAGCTAGACGCGCACCAACAATTTGTCCTCTTTTGAACTCTGATATGTCTCCCATTATGTTGTGTGCATTGCAATAGTTTATGTAAAACTGTGCTATTGCTCTGCTAATTCAACCTTCACACTCTGCTCTTACTGGTGGAATGTGCAATCAGTGAAGATTGGCCACCAGGCTGCACAAATATAGCCATGAAACCTCCAACACTAAAAATACAGATAAAGTATGAAAATATTAGGCTCGATCATACTTAAAATTAGGGATTTTTAAATTTATCAATAAGAGAATATTTATATAATATTGCCATACTACCTAACGCTTACTTGATCTTTAAAAACCTACTGTTTATATATAATAAGTAATACATAACAAAAAACATGTTAAATGTAATCTCAAAATGAATACTAATTTCTCATATTGTCCAAATGTCTTCAATTCACTTGTAGCCTTACTGGTTTACTTACTGAGTTTTACTTTTTAGAATAAATTTTTTTAAAAATTGAAAATATTGTATAAGACAGTCCATAGCAAGTTAAAATGAAGGCAGTTGATTTTGATGATTATGTAATCAGTGCAATCAGCTCAAACACAACAGACGCATACAAAAAATCTTCAATTAGGCTATAACAAAAAAAGTAAAGTACATCTAAATGCACCAACATGTTGTCATTTTGATCCCAAGCACAAACTGCCTCTGATACGAGTGTCAAATCCTAATGTCAACAGGCACGCTGACAGCACGGTCTGCCGCTGTGTTAATAAGTACGCACTTTCATTTGCGCCCGTCATACCAATAAGGCTCTTGAGATCAGATGGAAATTGCTCGTCTTTCACAAAGTCCATCGTGTTTTCTAGAGGGACAAGCCAAGAGGCCAAGATGTGCAGTGGAGTGTGTCGAGTTGTTCAGGGGGGTGGCGATGTCCCCAGCTTTATAACGAAGGCATGTTAAATCATTTAATTGTTCCCTAAAAGCATAAAGTCTAATTAGCATAGACATAATTGCCATGCCTTGCGGCATGGGGCAAGTGACATCTAGGCAAGATGTTAATTGTTGTAATTGCCATTGTAACATTCCTGAATGCATGTTATGTAAATGATGTGCAAAAAAAAGAAAGTTCATTCACAGCATTTGGTCATTTTAACGCCTGTGTTAATTGGACATATGTTTGTTTAAGAACACATGGCAGCACACCAGTGGCTAATATCAAACGCCCTGACACAGGGCCTAAAATTAATACTCACCAAGTGTAAAAGTATAAACAAGAGTAAAAATCAATGTTGGCAACTATATGAAATTTGCCAGTTGGCCGTTTTTTTTTATTCTGAAAATGCCTGAGAATGCAATATGGTTTAGCGCGATTATCAGATCTGAATGCATTGTAGTTA